CCCGTGCCTTTTTGACATCGGCTTTGTGAAGGCACCTTTCTCTAGTAAAAGTCTCATTATCGACCTGTAATCTTCTATCAAAGAAGGCCTTACATACATTAATCAGATTTTAACGTAAATGCACTCATGATGTTGATTCTCAACTACCCATGTCATATTTCACGCCTGACGTACCTATATGGGCAATGAACGTGGATGGTGGGTACCGTCGTCTCATATACCTCTGTTATGAGACTTGCATCACAAGTAAAATGTAATAAATCTGTGTATGAGGCTTCACATACATGATATATGCTTAGAATACAATAACATAAGACATAAGATTACATCTACCTTTACCACTAATTATTTTTAGGCAATGATGGCTCACCAGATGAACAAGAACTTGGAAGATATCATTTTTTGACTAATATATACGTCTAGATTGAGTTTGAATAAATAGATTTTTTATTATTTTTTTAAATATTGGGACGGTTTCTAACTAACAAACATACAATCAAAGTTTGGTTAATCAAAATCTTGTCTTTTTGTTTCTTTGTAAACCTTAATGCATTCAAAACAATTTCGATTTATAAAAGATCCATTTCAGTTATAAACGCTCATCCAATGTTGATTATTTTCATCACAATTGCTTACCATTAATAATCAAGGAAGGAGAAGCGACGATTTAACCATAAAGTCTTTCGGACATGCTTTCAAAAATAAATTTTAAGATCTGTATTGGCACGTATTCGAAGACAATTTCTTGTTCTACAAAAAGGGATTCACACTACCATCAGGAGCGAGCAGGTAAATGTATGTCGAGGCGCTTGCCTGAAGTCGAACTCACACTACAACAGGACGCCACCAATTGCTAAGCGTTCTAATAGACTATTTTATAACACTTTGTTTATAAGACAAAAAATTAAAGCGTCCTATCAAAAGGCGTTATAATAAATTTATAGGACGCTTTTGGGCGTCCTAACAAGCTTTGTAAAACACTTTTAATACAAAACGTCATATTAACAATTTTATATGATACTTTTTGAGAAAGTGTCCTATAAACCCATCTTTTTATAGGATCTTTTTTCAAATAACGTCCTATAAAACTATTAATGTGATGCATTGTACTAAAAGTATCCTAAAAAACTTGTTAAGACGCCCAAAAAAACGTCCTATAAACTTATTACAACGTCTTTAGATAAAACGCTTTACATTTGATCCTATAAATTAAGTTTTATAAAGCGGTCTATTAATACGGTTAGCAATTGATGAGGTCCTATAAATCCAATTTTGTTGTTGTGCCATGACCTTCCACTTATTCTAAAAGAATGTTTACCTTCTTAACCGTTAGACCTATGTTATAGGTACAGGATAATTTCTTATTTCCGTTGCACCTTCTCAACTCATTTATCATGAATGCCTTTAGCAACATGAATTCCAATGTTCAGTAACGGATCAATGGGTTGTATGCGATGTATAGCTTATTGTTAAAAGATATTCACTACATGAGGAGTCTATGGACTACTAAAGAAGTGGCGAACAAGTACGATGCAAGACGATCAAGAACGAGACCTACATATAAGTACGATATGTATCGTATATTTATTGTGTTGTCACCTTTAATTTTATAGAATACCCTAGTTTGGTTGATTATAAGATCGAAGATTATGCATTTGGCTTTTTTATAATTACGGTTTAGATCGTAGACTAATAGGTGTAGGTAACAAAATAATGGGTTTTTAGTCATTTTATGTGGATTAATAATGATAAGATATAACTTTATCGAACACATATTAAAATAAACTATTCATTTCAATTTATTTTTGTTTTTAAAATTGTAAATAAAACATCACAACCAAGAAAGATAATTTTGTTATGATTTATCTATTGATACAAAGCTATAATTCAGCCCAAGTATCATATTTGGTTATTTACTAAAATCGCCCTTAGAAATATATTAATAGAAAATATGAATTTATCAGACAATATATTTCTTGTTCTTGTTATTCGTCTATAACGATGTTTTTTGCATGTTCAGAAACATCTACGACTAATAAACATAATATGTCAAATCATTGAGTAAAAAAAACATTACTTGTATAACTACTTTGGAATTTTCATCGAAAAATCACCGACTAATTTTCAACGGAACCCAAAAAAGTAAAAAAGTTGACTTCCACCACAATTCGTCACTGAATTTTTAGAAAAAGAATAAAAAATTTATTTCGATAACTTTCTCGATGGATTTCCAATGGATTTGTGATGAGTTTTTTACTTATTTATTACAACATTTTAAAACTCTTTATTCAATCAGAATTTTTGCAGAAAATAATAGTGAAAGCATTTTTCTTAAAAGCAACACTATTATTGGAAATATGTTCATATGTAGCATTTATTATTTCCAAGTGAAAGAAAAATTTGGCGCCGTAATCTAACCCTTGGTTTCTCTAGGGACCAACTTTGTTAATTCATGAATAGATTCGGGACCAGAATCGTAATTTTCAGTTTACTTTTCAATGAGAGAGAGAAAAACGCGGCTTCAGCGGAGTGGATACGGAGTTATGAAAATTTGTGCTTATAGGCCCAAGTTATGATTTATATACATATTACCCTCTTACTATAACAAACTACAGAAAAGCCCCTGAAATTTGTAAAATAGTTCATTCAGATTTTCAATTCAAAAAAGAATTGGATGCTCAACGGTCTCATTTGCTTAGGGGCTGTTTGACAATTGTTGAATGGTTTGGTACATAATGATTAAGAGACTCTCATAATATAGTGCAAAATAAAATATAATTGTTTGGTAATTGTGTACAATTAAATTAGGGCTCTTAATGGTTAAGGAAGACCCATGATACAAAATCATTTAGAGGGTTTTAGAACCATTAAGAGACATATTTTTTTTTTGTCAAACAAGATTCACCTCTTAACAATTCAGAGGTTGCCTCTTAATAAAACTATTAAGAGGTAAACAAACAACCCCTTACTGTCATCGATCTTAACTTTACTAAGTAGTGATTAAGTAAAAGAACACTCTTTAAAATGAGAATTTATGTTGAAATGTCTTTACTCTTTAGCAGACCCGTTCCTGACATTGTATAGGCCCTCGACGAACGTAAAAACAGGGTCCATCGCAAGAAACAAGGCTTTTAACAACGATTTTTTTCATTGCTAAAAGTCCATTTATCATCAGAAAGAGTAGATAACAACATGTCGTCGTTATAACTTGTGGTGGAAACATGTCATCGCTAAAAGGCGCATCGTCAAAACTCACTTTTCTTGTAGTGACCATCGGTAAGTACGAAAAAAATTCAATAAATATTTTTCATTAGTGTAAAATTGAGTACAAGAAATGCTAATAATTTAATGAGAAAAGAAATATTATTTATTTTTATTATAAATATATAAGAGAGTACTTAAATTTACTTCTTATTAGGTAATTTGAAACCAAGAATATAGAAACTATGATTGATAAATTTTTATAAAAAGTAAGAATTTTTTAATTCATAACACGAAATATGTGTTAATTTTGATACAAAAAGAGAATTTGTGTAAATGAAGTAATCGTGAGAGTCAATGAGAGATCAATAATAAAGAAGATTATCAAGGCTTTTTAGACAAGTAGACAGATGAATATCAATAAGAATATGAAAGAAAAGATGACTCATTGAGATCTAATAAGAATAAATAATGAATTAAACATATAATATGCAAACTCAACAAATGGTTGTTTGAGCACTTAAAATAGAATCTTGTGGTGTGGTGGAATTCCGATGAAATATACATAAGTCAAACAATTGATTAAAATATTTAAATTCTATTTTCCTTCTTTTTTTGCTTAACTAAAACAAGATGTTAAAGTTAAAAGTTTATAGAACATGACATATATAAGAGACAATATTAAATACATTTAGTAGAAAAAATTTATTGATTAATCACAAAACCATGAAAACACGTCATAAATTATAAGAACAATAAATTGATTGTAAAATAACAACAAAATATATAACAATAATCAACAAAAACAATTAGAACGACATAACCAAATAGCAGTAGTTAATAGAAGCAGAAACTGATAATAATATCCAACAAAAATATATAGCAATAGCAAGCACATGATCTTAACGTTGAATTGTTGAAGCACGAAAACAGTCAACAAAAATAGTAATAACAAGCATATGATCTTAACGTTGAATTGTTGAAGCACGAAAACAATCAACAAAATTATATAGCAATAACAAACACATGATCTTAACGTTAAATTGTTGAAGCACAAAAACAGTCAAGCATATAGAGATAACAATAGCCAAAATCATTGGACCTTGTTGGAGATAAAAAAAAAAATTAAAGAGCTAATAAACAATAGCATATAATGAATGACCAATTAATTCATTTTATTTTCTTCTCAAATGTAATTAGTTGATATATTTTTGGGCCCTTATTATCTACTAAATTCTTTTTGTCTCTTATTATATGTTACAATTTTTTGGGTTTCTTTAATTTATTAAATTCTTTTAGACTACTATTGTATTTTAAGGAAAAATTTTGGGTTTCTGATATTTTTAGGCTTTGTGCATGCGCCCGTGCTGCCCTCCCCCAGGGACAGCCCTGCTCTTTAGGGGCTTTTGAAGTATAATGACTATAAAATTAATTCCTTCAGTGATAAATGAAAAACAACCAACCTGATTTATTTTATCATTTTTGAGATATACAGGGTCTAAATTTTCTGTAGTAGATAGATATGGGTAAACATGTTATGATATCATGTTTTTCTCTGATATTGTGTCCCAATTTGATTGAATGTTACATCCCTAACATTAGACTCGTTTGATTTGGTTTTGATTCTGTAATCTCTCGTAAAATGTGGGTAGTAAATGCAATAAACTTGTAAGATCAGGGGCGAGAGTGAAACTTTTGCCAACGGAAACGGAGGCGGAGGTAGCTCTCGGAGATTATAAAGTCGATAAGCCCACTAAAGCACATACGTCACTCCATTAAGAAAAATTATAATTCGACATCCAAAACAAGCTAGAACATGAATTGAATTCAAACCCATGTACAAGATCGAGGATGATGAACATCATCACCCTGATTGATCCTACGATTTACAACTTACGATTCAGGTCAACGTCTTTTCTGTAAATTTGATCCCTTGATTACGACATTCAAAGAAGATGAAAAGAACCAAAAATTAAAGAAAGTTCAGCCCCTCCATTATTACCCGTGTCTTTCGAATTTCCTTTTTTGTGTATCTTCTCCGTTCTTTGCGCCCCACGTAAAACCCTAAAAACTACTGGTTTCCTTCAGGTAATATATCGAACACCTGGAGAACAATGATTTACTTCTTGTTTTGGTATCTGATTGATATAACAAGGCATATGTACAAGTCTACTTTCATGTCTTACAATTTTGGATGTGTGGGAGTGGGACGCTTTTGCTTTAAGTTTCAGGAAACGGGTTGCTGTTTATAACGACTTTGATGTTTCCTTTTGATAAGTAATTATGACGTACTGAGCTGTTCTTATCCTTGATTTGTTTTCTTTATGATTTTTATAGTTGTATGCAGCCAACTATTGCAACTGGCTTTTGCCTTCCTTTGGGGAACAAGTAGTTTCTCTGAGCTCTGTTTTTGAATTCAACCTTCTTCTGACTTGATTTCTGACAATCTTTGTTGTTTGTTAATCAATCGATAGGGCTGGAGATTCAGATCATACTTATCGTTCTTCTTCGGGCTAGGTTGGGTTTCAGCCTCTTAGATCAAAAGAGCAATCGATTTCGAACTTGAAAGTATTCATCTTGATGTACTTAGGTGATTGAAGTGATCCGATAGTTATTGTTCAACAATTTTGTTCCGACCAATCTTGAAAAGGGTTAAAGGTGGTTTCTTGATAATTGCAGGAATTTTGGCGCTAGTTAATAATCTTGAGTTACTGGATATATATTTGTATTCTATTCATAATGAATGATGCTCAGACTAGCTCCAGTTCTCTGCCTCCATTCATCTCGAAGACGTATGAGATGGTGGATGATCCTTCCACAGATTCTATCGTCTCCTGGAGTCAGAGTAACAAGAGCTTCATCGTTTGGAATCCACCTGAATTCTCAGGTGAATTGCTACCAAGATTCTTCAAGCATAACAATTTCTCCAGTTTTATCAGACAACTTAATACTTACGTAAGTTTCATAAATCCTTTCAATTTTCTTGATTCTTGGCTGGAATATGTTTATATATTTGTTGTTGGGGTTCTAATCTAACAGGGTTTTCGAAAAATCGATCCTGAACTGTGGGAGTTTGCAAATGAGGATTTCATCAGAGGCCAACCACACCTCTTGAAGAACATTCATAGAAGAAAGCCGGTTCACAGTCATTCGATTCAGAATCTTTCAAGCAATGGGGCTTATTCGAATTCATCTTCTCCACTGACTGAATCAGAGAAACTTAGATACAGAGAAAAGATCGATGAGCTACATTACGAGAAAGAATTACTTTCAATAGAGTTTCACAGGCACCAGCAAGATCAAGATCGAATCAAATTGGAAGCACGAGCCTTAACCGATCGTTTGAAACACACTGGCAAAGTCCAAAAAGATATCCTCTGTTCCTTAGATGAAATCTTGCAGAAACCAGCTCTTGACTTAAAATTCGAAACTCAATTTGCAGAAACAAATGATAGAAAAAGGAGGGTGTCGGGTGAAACTAATAATGATCAGGTTTGTCCTTTTGATCTCCCGATCCGCGAGACACTAACTGCTGAATCCCTTTTGGCATTAGACACAGAATTGGTTGAGCATTTGGAATCTTCCCTCACGTTGTGGGAGGGTATATTGAAAGAGGTTGATGAAGCTTTTGAGCAACAAAAATGGCGATTAGAGTTGGATGATGAGGCCGCATGTTGTGCCGATAGCCCAGAGATCTGTTATTCACCGATGAACATTGAAATAGGTGGTGGTGAGATTGACATGAATTCCGGTGCAACGGAAGAAGAGAAAGATGGGAATGTTGTGGGTGTTAATGATGTGTTCTGGGAACAATTCTTGACTGAGAATCCAGGTGGTTCGAACGTGGTGGAGGGTGATAGCAAAGGATTGGATGAATACGGGAAGTTCTGGTGGAAAATGAAGAGTGTAAATAATCTTGCCGATCAGCTAGGGCAGCTTACTCCGGCGGAGAGAACATGATGGTGGAGGTGATTGTTGTGTTACCGTGTTGTCATTTTAGTGGGTGATTGTAAATTATGAGTGATCTTTTTAGGGTTTTGTACAGATAAATTATCAGGTTTTGATGAGTTTTAAGTTGGTAAATTCAGAAAATTAGGCTTCTATGTTTTGTTCGATATCTAAATCAAACCAAATGTAACGGGTGGTGCCTGATTGGTTTGAGTTTGGCTCTAAAGGTCAAAAGTATCTGAAAGTCCCAAGTTCAAATCCAAGCATGAATAAAAATCCCCTTGTAGCCACGAAGGTTCAAATACGGTGACTCCGGGCTATCTACAAAGCAAGTGGTTGCCCTGGGATTAGTCGGCTCGCATAGCGGGTTGGATATCCAGGTTAATAAAAAAAAAAATCAAACCAAACGTAAGAGGTAAGATATTTGTAGTAGAGTTAACGTAAGAGGTAGGATGTAGGAAGACTATTTCCTTGAAATCCCTATTTTGAAAAATAATTAATTAGTTACAAGAGAGAGGGGTAGAAACCACACCTGATACTCGTAATTTTCCACGGATAATACGATCGGGTTGGGTATCTGATTCCAGTCCCCAGCACAATATTATTTTATTAAGTATTTTGCCTTTAAAAAACGTGTTATTTCTTTTATTTGTTAACCTAATCCTAAATTCCATTCCAAATCCCTGTCACCTTCCATTCCGACACGAGACCACAACGAGCCCAATGGCCACCACCAACCTCCACTGTCCACAGTCCGGTTTCTACTTTCCACGTGTCCAGCTTCCTGCCTCCACGGTTCCGTTGAAATCTGAAAGGAAAGATCTTGAAGGCTGAAGCAAGCAACTACAATAAATTCAAATGTACAATAATTTTTTGATTTTAGAATTGGATTTCCAATTTTCAATAAAAGTGTCGAAATTAGTAAGTTTCGGATTTGTTTGATGAAATTTGAATAAATGATCGGTGGTTATCAGTTTTTGTTTTCTATAAATAGTTCATTAGCACTTTTGTGTTCATATAATTGCACACTTCGTGACTTTGTATGTGATTTTGTTACACCTCTAAATTACATAGTTTGGGTTCATTGGTTGGATTTTTGTTACACTGTTTGCTTGATCCCGAAACCTGCTTGAGAACCATGATTATGCTACAGGAAATGAACAACCTTGCCGGAATGCCACCAAGAAAAAAAATGCAGTTTTAGGTCTCAAACCCGATCCAATCTGAAACCCGATATGACCCGAAACTTGCGGGTTTGTCCACAGAGTTCGGGGTTCAGGTTCCGACGATCTCCCCCGAAACCTGACTGAGTTTGCAGATTTGGGACCTGATCCACCCCTCCCCGTCCGTTGCTCACCTCTAAGAGTATTACTCATACGTTGTTCGGATAATTATTGTTTTATAAAATTATTCAAAATTTAATATTTCAACAAACTAGCTATAGAAAGGTAGGAAAAAAATCATTTGCAAATAAAAAATTTCAATAGTACGTTACAACGATGGCCACCTATATTCAATTATGTTATGTTTTGATCTCTTATATATAACATGCAATCGTGCATTGAAACCAAAAAACAACTTTAATTACTTGTATCATATATGTACACTAACCAGATGGATGGTTATCAAAGTATTGTTGGGGTTTTATTATTTTAGCGTTTCCTTTGTAATAGTATTCTCACCAATATTATTGTGTACATAATCAACATATAAATTATTATTTAAACAACAAAATTATAAATTACATCCTCTCATTTTTTTTAAATCACCAATTGGCATAGATTCCGCAAGTAAACTCCAATAATATATATATATATATATATATATATATATATATATATATAGGAGCGTTCAAATAAAAACTTGACCCATTTGTGTAAACCATGTAAACCAATCTCATCCATTCATTTTTTTGATCAATGACTAAGATTACATTACTTTATTTTAGGAAATTAAAAATTAAAAAATAATTAATATTTATTTTATTTCATCAATAAGGGTAGAATCGGTAAACAAATTTAATTBAHAGTATTTTTTATTCAAGGCAACCATATCAGGTAAATTATATTATTAATGAAAATGTTTCATCATCATGAATATATTTTATTAACTATTTTGCAATGAAACCTTTTTACATTGAAATTTTTATATGCAGATTAATTTCATAATGAACAAAATCAATTATGCATTATTTCATTAACTATGAATCTATTTCATTAACTATTTTATTAACTATTTTACATGAATCTATTTCATTATCTATTTTACATGAATCTATTTCATTAACTATTTTACATGAATCTATTACCCGTTTCATGATACGTATATTTCATAACGAACAAAATCCATTATGCACTCGTTTCATGTTCATTCTACCAACTAAACTGATCAACTTCGATTACAATGCAACATTGATCACCATGAAACTAGTTCATGAATCACGAATCAATTAGAAAATGAAAATGTTTTACCATCATGAACCTATTTCATTTATATA